ACTTAACTTAATCAGAGACGTATATACTGGCTATAAACATCTCTGACTTAACTTAATCAGAGACGTATATACTGGCTATAAACATCTCTGACTTAACTTAATCAGAGACGTATATATTGACTATACACATCTCTGACTTAACTTACTCAGAGACGTATATATTGGCTATAAACATATCTGACTTAACTATCTCAGAGACGTATATACTGGCTATACACATCTCTGACTTAACTATCTCAGAGACGTATATACTGGCTATACACATCTTTGACTTAGTCAGAGACGTATATACTGGCTATACACATATCAGACTTAACTTAATCAGAGACGTATATACTGGCTATGCACATCTCAGACCTAACTTAATCAGAGACGTATATGCTGGCTATACACATCTTTGACTTAGTCAGAGACGTATATACTGGCTATACACATCTCTGAATTAACTTAATCAGAGACGTATATATTGGCTATACACATCTCTGACTTAGTCAGAGACGTATATACTGTCTATACACATCTCTGAATTAATTAGAGACGTAATTACTGGCTATAAAAATATCTGACTTGATTAGAGACGTATATATTGGCTATAAACATCGTCTCTGACTTAACTTAACCAGAGACGTATATACTGGCTATAAACATCTCTGACTTAACTAAATCAGAGACGTATATACTGGCTATACACATCTCTGACTTAACTTAACCAGAGACGTATATATTGGCTATACACATCTCTGACTTAGTAAGAGACGTATATACTGACTATACACATCTCTGACTTAATCAGAGACGTAATTACTGGCTATCAACATATCTGACTTGATTAGAGACGTATATACTGGCTATACACATCTCTGACTTAACTTAACCAGAGACGTATATACTGGCTATACACATCTATAAGTTAACTTAATCAGGGACATATTAGTGGCTATAAACATCTCTGACTTAACTAAATTAGATACGTATATAGTGGCTATAAACATATCTGACTTAACTTAACCAGAGACGTATATACTGGCTATAAACAACTCTGACTTAACGTAATCAGAGACGTATATACTGACTATAACCATATCTGACTTAACTAAAATCAGAGACGTATATATTGGCTATTAACATCTCTGACTTAACTAAATTAGAGACGTATATAGTGGCTATAAACATATCTGACTTAACTTAACCAGAGACGTATATACTGGCTATACACATCTATGAGTTAACTTAATCAGGGACATATATATTGGCTATAAACATCGTCTCTGACTTAATCAGAGACGTATATACTGACTATAACCATATCTGACTTAACTAAAATCAGAGCCGTATATATTGGCTATAAACATCTCTGACTTAACTAAATTAGAGACGTATATACCGGCTATAAATATCTCTGACTTAACTTAATCAGAGACGTATATAGTGGCTATACACATCTCTGACTTAGTCAGAGACGTATATACTGGCTATACACATATCTGACTTATTCAGAGACGTATATACTGGCTATACACATCGCTGACTTGCGTGCATAATAACAAGTTAAGACATGGACTCCCCTATTACTTCCTCTACCACACGGAGTTATATGACGTTACATCTTTATGTCGATCAAACGTTTAGCAGGGCTTGCTCGAGCTCTTTGTTATGCCCACCGACTCTAAATAAAAGTTATCAATGATCTTTGTCGACCTAGGACACAGGCACTACCAGTTTGATCTACACCACATGTTTTCCATTGACATTTACAATTTGTTCAAAAATCTTTTTTTTTAAACTTACTGTGTAACTAAATTATTCTGTGGCGCTACACATGTTATACAAACCCTATCAATATATGAAAAGGACAAACTAATGATCGCCTTCAGCAGCTGTCCAAAGATTCTTTGGGGCAACAATATGCAGTAATAGTAAAATAATACAAAATTAGCTATCGTGTGTGAATTATTGACTTAACTAATTTAGGGCCCGCGGAATTATAATTCTCTGGCAGGGGGTATAGAGCATTGTTCTCCAAAATAAGGAATCTTTACACACCGATAGGCTGTAACGTAATTAAGCATTGAACTGCTTTCAGTTGGCATTCATAGGAAATGTGACTTCCAGCTGGAATTCATATTGCCTATGAATGCCAACTGAAAGCAGTTGAATACTTATATATATATTGTTTAATGAATAGAACAGCTATAGTCCAGGGAGGGTCAGTGGTACCCAACGTAACAAGTATAATCTCATACTAATGATGACGTCAACAATCGGTCCATGGCATTCATAGCCTACATGAATGCTAACTGAATTTGGCAGGGTTATATAGTGGCAATGCCATGCGATGGTAAACATTTTTGCATGAAAGTGTTTGGCACACTTGACGTGTTTTAACGTACCGGTGTATGAGATGAATAAAAACATATCTATAGATCTTTCATAGCGCACACTTGTCCTTAATGAGATTATCAGACAAAATATAAACGTTATGTAACAAAACAGTCAGGATTGATACTCTAAAAATGGGCATTTTCGCGGTACGGAATTGCTCAGTGTTCGCGTTGAGTAAATTAGCGCGAAAATAACCACATGCGAATATTTTTTAAAGATTACATAGATTATTGATATGGAACATATACATTTCCACATCCCGATCAACTTTAACAGTCACAACGCGAACATTTCCACATCTCGATCAACTTAAACAGTCACAACGCGAACATTTCCACATCTCGATCAACTTAAACAGTCACAACGCGAACATTTCCACATCCCGATCAACTTAAACAGTCACAACGCGAACATTTCCACATCTCGATCAACTTAAACAGTCACAACGCGAACATTTCCACATCTCGATCAACTTAAACAGTCACAACACGAATATTTCTACATTGATCAGCTTTAACAAGTAAACGTGAACATTTCCACTTTAACAGTAACTTAAACTACACTCAGCATTCAATACATTTTGAGTATAAATCGCAGAGGTGTACATAGTCTTTACGCATTTATGTATGTCGCATCATTACCTCATTATGACGTCCTTCTACTTCTTCGGAATACGTCATCCAGTCACGCTTGACGTCTTTGAAGCGGCGCATGTTTAGGATATAGAGTGAAAAGGAAATAAAGGTTTAAAGGGGCAGATCAACAGCAGCCAGCGATGTGTTTGTTAAGAGTGTAGATACCCAAACAGAAGGACATTTCTGTCTCCAGTTCACTTCAGCTGTCTTACCGATCCGGTTACCATGGCGACCAAGACAAGCATCTGGAGAGGTCTCGTCTAGCATATAGCTTCTGGATTTCATTAGACTTACATGAGACAATTCATTAGAATACTTAAAGATAGTATACCAAGTTGGGGGGTTCTCAGCTGCTGAAGAGCTGGGATTTTGCTTCATTATATAACAGTGTCCGGGGGGAAAAACTCGTAAATATTTGTAGATGGAAGTAGACGACGGTATCTAATAAATGTCACGAACTGTTAGATTCCTTCCATCTGCAGCATCATGATACATCGAGGCGTTACTGTTTTACATTTATTTAACAAGTTATATTAATCAATATTGTTAGCCCGGATATTAGCTTTTGTAATCTAAGCATCATGATGAGTTTGACCTTCATCCTTATGGGTTAAGGGACTCCCAGTTAAGCTGGTTTTCAGTACCAACTCGTAACATATCTGTCCGCTGTAGCATTTCTATCTTTTGGTGAGGTCCCCCATACTGAGACACAGTACTCCGGTAAAGGTCTTACAATGGAGAATTATGCGGTTGTTTTAGTCTTCAAATGGCTGACTCTTAGGTTTCTTCTGGTGAACCTTAGGGAGCTATTCGTTCTTTCCGTGACAGGCCCCTTGACATCTCTACCCCTAGATATTGAACGGCATCTTCAGCAATCAACGCACGACTTCTCTACTTCTATAACATACTGATATGTTAAGGTAACTGGCTTTCTGAAGCAGGAGGTGGTGTGTTATTCTCCGCTCCTCAAGCTCCACTAGTTCTCGTTGTAGAGCTATGCAGTTGATGTTATTCGCGAATAGTCTAGTGTTTGCTGTAATAAACTATGGTAAATCATTGATGAAGATGAGAAATAAAGGTCAGCGTACGCATATATACGCTTCCTTGTGGTACGCTGGTTAGCACAGGTGCCTCGTCTGATGCAAGTCCGTCTGCTACGGACCCTCTGTGTTCTTGCATGGATACCGTAATCCCTCGATACTCCAGGGATTACGCTCACTTTCGCTATCTGCACACCGCTGGGATATATTTATATGTCATAGCAAACTTGAAGGCACGCGACAAAATATTTGATTGGTCTCATTAGATAAAACCTGACCAATCGTAGACTGATACCTGTCCTTTGAAGATTACAGAGGATCGACACCCGACTTTGCAGACAGTAAATTTTACTGTTACGCGACCAATATTTTTTTTGATGTACATGAAATGATCAAATTAGTCTTTTTGTCTCCTAAAAAGGTGGCACACACTGAACCTTCGATTTTGCCATGACATATTCCAGGGGTGCAGAGAGCGTAAGTGAGCGAAAATCGGCCTAGGTTGGAATGTACTTGATTAACCTTTGAGTAGTTTCCAACACACCCGGACAGACAGGCTCTATGCTTGCTGACGAACAGCGAGAAAAAATCCCTCAACTCCTTCCTGATGTTACCGAAATCTGGTCTCTCTGGTCTTCACAGAGTACAGATGTGATTAAAGTCTTATATTTATGAAATTTCTATTATCTCCTTTTATGCGTGTCACAGTTGTGTTGACTTACTGAACAAGATACTGTTTAACTAAACGCTCAGAACATGATGCTGCGGTCAAACTCAACATTATTAGATGTGTTTGAATTATTACTACGAGTTTCTCCATCCTTTCTCTAAATTCCAATAGTATTGAGAAATAAAGACCTAAAATGTCAAATGACTGGTTTTATGCTCAATTTCCACAGCAATCTATTCTAATGGATTCAAAAGAAACAACAGACTCTTGCTATACATTATTTATTTTTTTATTAAAAAAACATGCAGCATACAACAAACTATTTATATTAGCCCCGTATCTGAAAAATAGAGGACTCCAAACCCAACAATATCTATCAAGGCCGAAGAAATTATAGAATATCAGTTTTCTAAAACATTACAAAAATACCTTTCAGCCATCTGTATAAAAAGGAGAATCTATATATATATGAAATATCAGAAGTTTAGAACCATCTATACATTAGTTCTTGGGAAACGTTGATAATAAGAACTTTTTAAAGACAGATGCAAAGGTTCTTTTGAACAGTTTACCATCTGATGATTGTGGGCTAAAAACATTCTCAAAATTCATGCAATGAAGTATCCTGAAAATATATGACAGCTTGAGTGTCAGTCTCGGGTATTATGCACCAGCAAACAATGTTACTAGATGCCAAGAATAAGAATGTTCATACATGTACTAAGAATCAAATTTCAGAAAAAAAAAAGTATAAAGCAAAATATAATATTTTCAAATTGCCAACACAATATACCTGGGTAATATAAATGCACCATTCTCCTCCTCAATCAACATGACAGATAAACTTTATCTATATATATATATATATATTATCAGATGACTTATGAAATGGAATGTAGTAAAATGTAACCATGCAAAAGAATGAGGGCTGTCAGTAAACCCTTGAAGGAAAATGTGGCTTGATTTCAGAAAATTCCAAATACCAAGGGTAGACTGAAAGCCCTACCAAGAATGTAATCTCATGAAACTCCCATTTAATGAGAAAGAAAGACCAGGGCAGTGAATAATTATTGAATAACTATTGCCAATCACTTTAGATTTAAAGTCTGGGTGTCTTTGTTGTTTTTTTACACCGATTTTCAGCCAACCACAACACTGCTGACAGCACCACAGTGCCCACAGCTAGTGCGATCATGAACAAGGATGTTGGGAACTGTCCCTGAAAAGACGAGGCTAGTATTAGTGGGGGAGGACGTGACACAATAAAGTTGTAATTAATTAATCATATTTCCCCCTTATTGTCCTTCTGTCTAATATATATATTTACACCTAATATAATTAGTTGATCCATCTATATATTTTACAACAGGTTATCTAAGGAAAAGACTGATACTGGCTTAACCTGTTGTTCCATCCTTTTGATAATACATGTACTGTTTTATATTTTCGAATTCTAATGTATTATCAATAAAATATTTAAATTGAATTAACACAATATAAATATAGCGATTTGACAGTGTCAACAATCATATTCATTAAGATTTGGAGAAGTTTTCTCAGTAAAAGAACAAAATATACCTGGTAAATTGTTTAAAAACACTTGCGAGGAATACCGAATGGCAGGATATTCCTGTGGGGATAATATTTCAGCAATTTCGCAGATGAATAAGAGGATCGATGTAATTTTGGGGCAAAATTGCGAAAATTTTAGGCTGTATAAATAACCCACTATACAGTATTTCATTTCTTATCATTGGAAGAAAGAAGACTTTTGCTTCAAATATAAATTTCCTGTAGATGACTTTCACCATTTCCTAATCATGTCATTACATGCATTTTCACCAGGTATTTTCTGTTGGAATACAGAAGTATTTCGTTGGTGAGTTTAACTCGATACAGAGAACAGGTATCGTAAAATACAAACCTTTCTCAGGCATTTGTATCCATGGAAACCATCTTCACAAACACACTCCATCATGTTGGGTCCGACATGTTGACACATGCTGTTGGTATTTGGACAGGTTACTACAATATCAGAAAAAAAAAACAATTTAAGAAAATAAATCCAGTATCAAAATACAGTGCTTCTCATACAAATCAGAATCCCAATTATCAAAATATATATTATGTCACATAATATTTCAGATTTTCTACTCATCATTCTTAATGCTACACACAATTATATAGATTTACGCATTTTTTTTAAAATACAAGAATATTTCATTGAACTTCTTAGTATGGCCACAGCATTAGATAAGATTTTCTATCTTAGTCTGTATACGTAGTACACATAATCGACCCGATGTTCACATACACTGCACTGAATATCATTTTGGTAGTATTTTACGTGAGGGTTACCTCCCCTTATATGTACAAGCAGAGGATGTTGAGGTTAGCCTTATGAAGCTACCGAGGTTTACATTATTAAAGCTATGCAGAATTTATAAAACTTATACCAAATGACTAGTGGAAAGTATGGCCAAACTGTTTCCATATCCAGGTTTATAATATATTGAATATTTCTAACCTAAAAAAAATATATTTTAATACTTCTTTATCTAGATATTTTCATTAAATTTTCTAAATATCATATTTTTTCAGTGTTTAATAAACACTGCCTAATGCTAAAATATGTAAAACATTGTTTGAATTTATAACATTTCTCTGCCATTTTTCAAAATATTTCCTGGGAGAGAAAAAATAAACAAAAGGTTGAAATAACTGTAATTCCTATACACAATGCCCTATATGACAAAATTATTCTGTAAAATGGCTTCTATAAGGTTTTTAAATCAATATTCCAATTGATTTTTAATTTGGAAGCAAGGTTAAGGAATTATACTTACCTATGTAAAAAATAAAATAAAATTTGGGTATCAGGAGACATCACTAAAAGTCTGGAGGGTTGACAGGAATGGCAATGCATAAGGTTCAAGGCAAATAAAAAATACAGTATGCCTATCAACTTGACATTATACATCTATCATCCTACCTCTATTTTCTATTTTTAAAGATGTTATGCTCTGGACAAAAAAATAATAATTTGAAATTTGACCTCAATTTATGACCTTGACCTTCTGTGAAGGTCATGTATCCCCATGGCACAACTTCTAGAGATTGGATACATGTGAACAGATGGATGAGTTAGTGCTCAAAGTACATCAGAACGTTACAGTACAATAGGTTTAATTCATTAGGAGAAGTTCTTTTTACACAACCAGTACAATGTTCTATGTGACGTTTCGATGACTAGTACAATATGTACACTGTCACCTTCATCAGACAAAAAAACACATAAATTCATTGCTTGTGAGATTGTATGATAAAAACACCATTGTACCATTTATGAGAAGCTGGCATGTTTGTTTTTCCACTTCACATCGTGTTGTATCTGTTTTGTTGTCTAGTACGGAAGAGTTCCATGCATCAGGCCCCCCTGGGCATTTCAGGTCTGGTTGTAACACTCTGAAAAATGGTACAAGAACGCAAATTGATTACATACATATTCTATGAAGTCAGCTAGACGCAAACAAGATTTCTTGAACAGCCTTACGTCACCAAAATATTTGCTTCTAATAGTTGTCTCATGTAATTCGAGGTGGGGGAGAGAAGCTTCAAAATGACGCTGATCAAATTGAGTTCATAGCTCTTTTAATGCAATTTCTTCTGATAATACTTATAGAATAAAATGCAGTGGAAATGTATATAGACAGTTGTAATACATAAAATGATTAAAATTGATAGCAATCATCTACTTTTTGTTGCTGAATTGTTGTATTGCATTACAAGAATTCTTTTTCCCCCCCGATATAATTATTGAGAGCTGTACCACTAAAGAGTGATGTACAGAAAAATGAAATGAACTTACAAGAGATCAATATTTGTAGTTTGATAGAAGTCTTCCCTTGTTATGTTTTTCAAATTATTTCCTTGAAGGAATCTGAAAAAAGAAATAAGGTTAATTTTATAATAATAAAGAATACAAATTAGCCAATTGCAACATATTAACTATGAATTATTAATAAATGGTTTACCTTTCACTGGTAAAGTAGACAGACTAGTAATTTATCATACACATATTTTTGATAAATACATACTGTCATAAAGATAGTGCAATGCCTAATGGTGTTCCTTTTCTTCTGAAAACTAGTAAATTAATTATTCCTTTACAATACTTGTTTGTTCTAAGCCAGTTTGCTTTGATGAACCATCATTATTACACGGAGCAGATTCAACATTTTACAGTTATATTCCGACATCTATTTCCTTTTCTTACACAATCATTTATTTACTACAATGAATTTACCCCATGTACGATGTATCAGACGACATATTTATACTTACATGGTGGTTAAGTTAGGATGATTTGTAAGACTCTTATTAAGAGTCTGAATGTCACAGTTGGAAAGGTCCAACCTAAAACAAAATCAAAGGCAATTACCTATACAAGTCACTTGAAGTGTATTAGCTTTATTTACATTAGAACTTTTTTTAAACAAGTTTTTTTCAACTTAAATTAATCCTTTTTGTTGGCCTGTATGGAAGTGCCAAATGTGTTTTAAAGTGTAAGAAAACTTGCGTAGTTGGGCAGGTAAGCCAATACCTTTCCATGCCCAATTGGGCAGTCAAACCCCATCTGTCTTTAATAGTGCAAGGTGAGTGCACTTTCTCCCCAAATTAGACAAAGGTATCCACACTTCTTGTGAGGGAAAGATTATAAGACTCTTTCATGCCCAAGGGTGTAGGATATCTCATCTTTCTAACATGTACGGTAAAATATCATTATAGATTTTAATTTTATCACAATTGCGACATTGGAGTTTTCCAAATTTGTGATGTCATGTCATGTGAAATGGTGTAGGATAGAAATTTCCTACACCCCTTTTTTACCCTGGACAGCTCTATCTTAGGGGGATGGGGAGAGATTTTCCGGTCATAACAATAACAATTACGTGATGTCACAACAACAATGCAATGACATCCGTCAATAATAAGCTAGCAGATCACAGCAGATAACTCTGATCTGCGTGAAATTATGAAATAAACTTTGCATTTCATGATATTACCACTTGTATTTGATGTGGAAGTAAATAATCATTCTCAACCTTGGGGTAAGACAGAAAAATTTCAACCCAAGGGGTACGATTCTTTAATGTCCAGCCCTCGGCAAAGAGTCTTGGGCTTGACATTAAGGAATCTTAAACACATGGATTGAGATTTTCGGTCTTACCTTCAAGGTTGGGAAAAAGATTATATTAATCCAATGCTCTACCTTTCGGAATTCATATCAATTATATAGGTAAAGTATACATGTATACATATTTAATTACATATAAAGGATCAATATTTCCACGAGTTTCTGTCGTTGATTATGATATCTACGGTATTTACCAGTACTTACTCTGTGATACATTTAACGTTCCCAGACTTGATCACACATCTCACGGTATTTACCAGTACTTACTCTGTGATACATTTAACATTCCCAGACTTGATCACACATCTCACGGTATTTACCAGTACTTACTCTGTGATACATTTAACGTTCCCAGACTTGATCACACATCTCACGGTATTTACCAGTACTTACTCTGTGATA